TTATATTGATTATATGTTGAAATGATAATACTTTGGCTATATTGGGTAAAGTAAAATATAGTGTTAAAATTAAAAAAAAAAAGGCAGCAGCAGCAGTCGGGAAAAGTGAGCCCAGTTTCAAAGGTCCTGTTGTGGGGGTTCTAGTCAGAGGGTGGCTGGATAACACATCTCGTAACAAAGTCTGACATAATTACAAAGCATAGCCTGAGAGGGGAAGAGTGATTGGGAGCTCTTCCTGGAGGGAATAAGGGAGAGGAGACAGCAGATGAGAGCAAGTGATTTACTGCCTTTTCTATGCAACTTGATACTTGATTAAGTTGAGGGAACTACAGGGAAGAAAGAGTATAAGAAGGCACTGATGTTCTTCACCTCAAGGGGATGTTTGGGTAATGGGAGTGTTAACACAAAGGACAGAAAGTTGGAGGGGAACAGGTAATGGATGGATACTTGTTGCCATTTTAGTTACCATTGAGTTGGCTGCTGACTCATGGTGACTCCATGCACAACATCCTGCATAGTCCCCATGTTTGGTTGAGGATCAAATCATTGTGATCCATAAAGTTTTCTTTGGCTGATTTTTGCCAGTAGATCACCAGACCTATCTTCCTGGTCTGTCTAAGTTGGGAAGCTCTACTGAAAGCTGTTCAGCAACATACAAGCCTCCAGTGACAGACATGGCTGCATGTGAGGTGCTTTGGCCAGGAATTGAACCTGTGTTTCTGGCATGGAAGGGGATAACTTAGCACTATTAGTACGAATGCCTTGCAGTGGACACTTAGGAGATGATATTCAGCCTTTGGAGTCTCTGGGTGGTACAGATGGTTAATGTGCTTGGCTTCTGACCTGAAAATTGGAGGTGCCAGTCTACCCAGAAGCACATTGAAGAAAGACTTGGCAGTCTACTTTGACAAATCAGCTCTTGAAAGAAATCCTGTGGAACACAGTTCTACTCTTACAGACTTGGGGTCACCGTGAGTCAGAGTCAACTTGACAGCAACTGGTTTTTATTATATCTATTATTCAGCCTTCAATTGGGAGGTTGGTAAGTCTAGAACATGGGAGGGCAGCTGGAGTTACAAATCCACTGAGATTGGCTGGCTGAAGAGTTTCATAGCTCTCCCCTCACTTCAGCTGCTATTAAAAGTATTCTGTCAACATCATGAGCTTTAAAGCCACAGAGAGCTGATACAGTTTACTTTGATTTGTGTGTGCAAAGAATTAGCATCGGCTTGATGGGAGCCTTACACCAGAACAGATGACTATTATCATTCTCTTGAGAGATGAGAGCTGTTTAGTCAGACTCTGGAGCCAGGCTGTCTGGATTTGAATTCCATCTCCCTCAGTTAAGAGCTGAGTGACTTTGAACAAGTTACTTCACCCTTCTTGTCTATAGACAAATTTTCTTGCCTATGAACTGAAGGTAATAAGAGGACCTAATGCATAGGATTATTTATGGATTAAATAAGAAATGCATGTTAAGCTATAAATGCATTCTAAATGCTTAAACTTAGAACAGTACTTGGCACATTTTATTTATTTAAATAATACTGTTTTCAGTGAGAGGCTACACAGCAGATTAGATTCCCATTTAACAATTTTTATGCAAAGTATTCAGCAATATTAGTTCCACTTTTTTTATGTGTCAACATTCTCCTTCATTTCATTCTGGCTGTTCCTCTTCTAATAATCTGATTTCTGCCCCTTACCTTCTCATTTTTGCTTGAGAGTAATTTTTTTTTTTTTCCTTTTTTTTTTAAATTTTTTTTTATTATTAGGATTTGAGTGAAGATTTACAGAGTAAATTCACTTTTCATACAGCAGTTCACATATACTTTGTCTCATGACATTGACCAAAA